TATGACCCCCTGGTTATAACCTGCTCCTTAAAAAAAGTGCGGGGCTATTTTAAGATAGGAAAAGTAACAACAGCATTTAAATTTTTGCTCCTTTAGAGGCCCTTCCTCTCTTGGCTGGTCGAAGGGAAGGAAAAGGAGGGGAAAATATACTTTTAATCCCCAATATTTAATTTTCACAACTAAACATATAGTGAATATTTGCTCTATTCAACGGATTATTTTCAACTTCTGTATCTTTCGATACATGTAAAATGCAAGGCCTTCACCCTATTAGAATTTGAGATCTAAGACCGTGGTAGCCCAGTGGTTAGAGAATCGGGACTCTGGGTTGGGGTTCGATCCTAGATTCCGCCAAGACCAACCGAGTAAATGCGGTATACGTGTTCGTAAAATCCGTGGAGATGAAAGTCCTGCGGTCGGTCACTGAACAGTACCTTGGGTACAGGGATCTGGAGAAAATTTCCTTTCCCTTCAGATCTATGTCTAAATTGAGGAAGTGGCTTCACTAATGAGATCCCATTTGCAGAGGATCAAAATTGTGATGGTATTTTTATCAACCTCAGAGATATTTCCCAGACCGCCGCCAATAGCTCATTGTGTCCGACGTAAGTAAAGTACCTACCTAGATAAGTATCTTTTTCATGCAATGAAAGTTAGAGGAATTTTTAACCGTTATCCAAATCGATTACCATCAGTTTAAACTGTAACGAAATTAGATGTATAAAAAAAAGAAAATCCGAATTAAAAATTTAACCTAAAATCCGAGATATCGAGGGTAAAGACCTCTTAAATACTATCGAAAAAATAGTGGTTATGGTTTCTTCAGAAACGCTACGTTGCGATTGCCATTTCTATTATACAAACTCTCTCAAGCGGGTGCCACATCCTTAATGCCTAATATACACTCGAGATTTGCGCTTTTCTCTCGTATTTTTTCTAAATTTATAACACTGTTCCACCACTTATAGTTAGTAAAATCTTTCATAGCCGAATCTTTCTTTGGTACAATCCAAGTTTCGATTCCATAGGTCAGGACTTAGCATATAATGGTTTAGTGCAGTTATAGTTTTGTATCTCTTTTTATGAAAGTTGATTCAAGAAGAATCTAAGGCTCTTTTAAACACTGTTGATAGTATTAGTTGTTCTTTAATCCTCTTACTTTATTGTTTTCAAAGCTGAATTACTGAATCCTGTAAGGTATTGACTTGAAAGTATGGCTTATTAATTTATAAAATAGACTTAAGAAAATCGGTAGAATGACGAACCACGACAGGGTTCGTCTTTCGATGTCGAAAGCAGACAAAAACTTGCTGAAATGACAAAAATGGTTTGTTCAAATGTGCTTTTGACTTTTGAACAACTAATTTAAAAAATTTTTAAACTATAAAAAAGGAGTTCCTATTTCTTCACATCTTACTCTCCAGACAAAATATGATTTCTGGCTCTTCATAAAAGTAAAAACCGAGCAAATAGTACGTTTAGACGCCATTCCTGAAACTGATAGGTGTACGATGGACCTGTTGTAGGCTTACGAAAAATCTTGAAATTTGCTATTTCTTGTAATTCTTTGTATTGCGAAATTAACATTGTGATGAATCTATCGCTAGAATGGAGAAAACTTCGAAGGAGTTTAATGTAACGCTGTTATTTTAATTTATTCGCATTTGTTGTTCTGATTAAGGTATTGTAGCTTATGTATATTTTTGTTGACCTGCTGTAAACTTAATAATTTTATTAAATTGAAAAGTCAGCAATTTTAAAACTTTTAGTAAGGGGATCGTAGACTAAATTACTCCTACTTCAAGCGTCATCTGCACATAATTAGTTTTCAGCTGAAAGGGATTTCATTGAGCGTTTTTAATTTTTTTTCCCTTCAAGGCTATTCCGCTTATTTAACGCTCTTTCGGCGATTCTGATCGAAAGATAATTTAATATTGCAAGGCTCCGAGTACTTTAAAATCAAGTAATAGAATATTGTATTTCTCATTTTAAATATTTTTGTAAGTTGTTGCTGATAACTGTGCATGAAGATTTCGTTCGATTGCAAGTGGAGAGTTGTTAATATTATTTTACTTATTTTTTAACACTGTTCGTTTGAATTAATTTTCACAATTGTTAAGTGGCGTGATTTCGATCGATTTGTTGCCAAAACTATTTAACATTATATAATCTATTTCATTCTTTTTTCGATTTACTTACTGAGTATCTATTAAGGAAGTTCTGTAATCACCATTCTTAATATAAATTCTTAGAATTTTTGTCGAAACTGAAGTTAAAAACTGGTTAAAAAGCGATTTGTTAGAGGTTTCGTAAGGTAACCGTTCTGGGTTTGATATTCTTCATTACTACTTCCTTAACCCTTTTCGATGGCATTTTGCTGATAATCTTTGAAATCAGTTGACTGGGAGTAGAACTGCTATGACGATGCTATTACTTTAAGGAAAATTTTTCAAGGCAAATTCTGCTTTTACTCTTAGAAGTTTAAAGAAAAAGCGAGTTCAGGTAAACCTAGAGTAAACCCTAAGTGTTAAATTTTTTTTTCAATATGTGCATCAAAATATCTAAGTACCAATCCAATGTACCAGATAAATTATTGCAGAATTATTTCACCACTGCGTAACTCCGAGTAATCCTTCAAAAATTTGTTTGCTTTTCATATTTTCAGCATTTAAAACTGCGTGGTTTGCTGTAGGTTTACCTTTAACCACTTTTTTTACATTTTGGATTACTTATGAAGGTGAAAGATACTTTGCCATGAAGGGTGTCTTCCGCGGTATAGCAACCTCTTAAAGAGTGATTAGACTAATTTCTATTGGCGTTTTTGTTTTTCTCTCCTGATTTGATAAATAATTTTCTAACAATGTATTTACATTTATGGTGATTATTTATTGTTCGATTTTTAACTAAAACTGAAAGTATTTTTTTAAAATTATAAATACAATATTTTAGGAAATTTTTTTTGTGTGCGCTATTACATAATACGATATTCGAATTCAAAAAATTTCATAACAATTCTAGAAGTTAATTGCCAAATAGATTATTTAGTATAAAAAATAAACTTTTTTTTTTGTTGTTAATTTTAAATAGGAATTTATTTTTGTGTTCCATGTATTTTGTTTGAAATAAATGTTTCATTAATGAAACATGTTAAAGATTAAATTCACATAATTTTATTATTAAAATGAGGAATTTTTGAGAACTTCGTGTATTTAGATGCAAATTCAATTTTTACTTGTTTCTTTAATTTATTATTTTTATTATTGATAAACGTAATTAAGCATTAACTGAAATCATCCAAATTTGTTAGGGTAACAAATCTTTCTCTAATATAATTAGTATTTCCAAATCTTAATTTTTTCTAAGGAATAAAAATCATTACAAACGCATCAACAGGATTAGAAAGCAAAATTTACGGGTAATAGTTAATATTTTATTACCTAATCGAGGAAGCAGTTTTTCTGGTTCGACCCAGTGTCCCGAATAATATTAAGATACAATTTAATTGATGATTTTGAGTAACTGTTTTGGGGTTAAACGATTTGCTGTCATAGTTATGTTATGTATTAAATGCTTCCTGATGTTATTAATAATTTGAAACAGTTTTGTACGGAGTAGCTGAAGGTTGAGAGGGGGTAACGGATTGAAATCCGAGTCTTTAGTGGAAGGAGGGGAACTGTTTAGAGTTGTTTCAAAACCAATTAAAATGTGACAAATATTTGTTTTAGAAAAAAGCCGCCACTCAGGGTTTGTATGATTTAAATCACTTGATTTAAAAAAAAAAATATCTACATCGATTGCAATTTTTTTTTTGTTACAAAAATCGCCATTTTTAACCATTTGATTTTTTTTTTTTGAAATCGAAAATGAAATGAATTTTGAAGTTATATTATTTAGGTTGTAATTTTTTAAAGTATGATTTCATTGATAATGAAGCTTTTATCCAACGAAATGAAAGGGGGATTTACATATTTAACAATATTAAAAAAAAAAAAAAGAAAAAAAAATATGTAAAGCACATATTTATTTGCATAGAAAGGTTTTTAAATTTATTAAATGTATAGTTAATGTACATTAATAATGAAAAAAGACTTTTTCTGTGTGCCCAGATTATTTTAAAATATTTTAATTTTTTTATTCATGCTTTCTGATTGATCTAAACTAATTCTTTCTTCATTGGACATCTTCATTGAGAAATTGTCTCCCTGTCTTTAAAATTGGGAGGCTAAGCTTGAACAAAATTACCTATGATCTTATTTATTCAGTGATTTGTTTTTAATAGTTTTTACTATTTTAGCTATAGTATATAGTAATATTTAATATAAAATATAAAAAAATCAAAAATCCTACTTATAAATATGATTTTCTTAATTTTAAAAAAAATCATAATTTTTGCCAACCCTGCTGCCAATAGATTTTCTTTCCAGTATCCCAGAGCTCTGCTATTATGCACAGCTGTGATTTCCCGTTGATAGAATGATAGTTTTAAAATTAAATAATTTTTAAATTATGTAAAATTGACCATTTATACACATTTTATAATCTGGAGAAAATAAGACTTAAAATCTGCCTGACTTTAAATAATTTCTTTTGCAGAATGCAATTAATTTTGTTTGTATTATCCATCATAAATTTTTTTTTTAAAATCTCGTTTTAAATTTTTAAGTCCTTAAAATTTTAATATCTTTTTGCTATTATTTTTTCGTTCCTACAATAGATTTTTTATCATTTTATCGATGTGAAATTTTTTAAGGGTTTTCGTGGTCTGAGATTTTTATCAGGCCAGTATCATTTCTCTAGATATATTACGTAAAGGAAATAAACAGGTATTGAATTATACCATCACCAAAAACTTTAGTTTTATTGAATGAAAAATCTTATTGAATGAAAAATCAAAGTTTACACTATTAATTTGAATACTTTCATTTCATAATATTTAAATTTATATTTTTAAATGAAGTATTTTTGTATAAATAATTTTACAAATGTATTTTTTTCTTTAGTTCATTGATAAATATTGGAGTCTCCACTGAGGAATTGTATGAAACATACGATGATACAAATCTTTAATTTATTTCATTAGCATGGGGCCAATGAAGTTAGAATGGAGCATTTCATATGCATTCTAGTCCATCTATTTGTGTAAGTTATTATTTTAAATTCTTATGTATTTTATAAAATATTTCTTGTTTTCTTATTATGAGATACAATTTTGATTGAGATTGAAAAATTTTGATGTTACTCATTATGAGTTACAATTAATTTAAAATTTATTCTAAAACACACACTGTTAAATCTTATATATGAATCATGCATTTAAGATTTATTTATTATGAAACATGTTTATTAAAAATAAAATATTTTTTATCTAAAACTCATTCGTTTAAAACTTAATTAATCTAAAATTAAAACTTAATTAATCTAAAATGTATTTAAAATGTTTTTAAACTAAATTGTGTTCTGTAATGAACTAAAAGACTTGCATTTGTATTGTTCAGGTGTGTGATTTGTGTTCCAAGTTTTTCTCAAAAAAGTGTAAAATGTGAAATATAACCAGACCTTAACACTTGAAAATTGGATTCTTTCTGTGACTAGTTCTGTATCAAAAAAATGTCATATGTAACAGCAGACAAAAGTGTGCAAGCAGGTATATTGATTAATTTTTATTATAATTCTTATTTTGACTATTTATTTTCCTTTTAAAGAATACAAGATAGTAACTTATGTTCCCCGAAGTTACTATACAAATTAGAATTATTGTTACTCTTAGGTTTACTTTATTCAAAGGGAAGGTCAAGTAATTCTATATCAGCTTTGAAAAGTACTAGGTTTTGATAATATTGATTAATTAATTTTTATTATAATTCTTATTTTGACTATTTATTTTCCTTTTAAAGAATACAAGATTGTAACTTATGTTCCCCGAAGTTACCATACAAATTAGAATTATTGTTACACTTAAGTTTAATTTATTCAAAGGGAAGCTTAAGTAATCCTATATCAGCTTTGAAAAGTACTAGGTTTTATTCAGCTGTCGCTAGTACATTCTAGAGATTTTTCTTTATCAGTTACGCATTTTTTTGTGATAGTGTTTTCTGCCAATTTTTTATTGTTTTTATTAATCATTTATGTAATTATATATAACTTGGTTGCAGAATTTTCATTTATCTGCAGAATTGTTTTCAGAAATTGTAATTATGACTTAAAAAGCTGTTAAAAGATAAATTCAATTTTCGTTTTCTAATAGTGTGATTTTTTAAAATTTTTTTTAAAATAAATTGGAGATTTAAGTTATTCTATACAGTAATATTTTGTCAACCTACTAAAGTCTAAGGCATCACATTTTGCTTTATCTGTTCAAAAGTTTAATTTTGTAGATATTTAAAAATTAATTTTACGATATTTGTTTATTTTTTCCACTTTTTTAGTAATTAATGATACATTTCTATTTTCAATAACTTTGAGTAATGCAATATTACTACAAAATAATATTTAATGCTATAAAATAGTTTCAAATGTAGTGTGATTTAACTTATTAATGTTTCTATAACAATTATATTTTTAAAGTTCAAAAAATTGTTTTATAAATTTCTCTAAGTATATTTAAAAAAATTAGAAAAAATCTGATTTAAGTCAGATTTTGATATTTTTTTTTTTTTTTGGAAATAAAAAAAATTACTAATTGTAGTTTGAAATATAGATCCTATTTAGTAAGTATCTCGTTTCCAAGTATGCATAAATTATAATCTATTGTATTATTTAATGCAGCTCCTAGGTAAAAAAAAAGTTACTTAAATGTATCAAAAAATGTTTATCGTTTTTATGGAATTTTTAGTGTGATAAAAATGTTTATATATATATATATTCTCTATGCAAAGTTTTTTGAAACCCTTGATTCACTGATTCAAATACTTATTGTTCAATATAATATAAAATTATTTGCCATAAAATAAGATGTGTTAAATATTCAAACTGTATAAATTTTTTGCTTTAGTTTACTTAAGGGTTGATCTTGTGTTTTTTTGAACAATTATTATTATTATTAAAAATTAAATCACAAATATGGTTATGTTAATGGCATTTAGTGCATATCATAGTTATCAAATTTTTTTATATATTTTTGCATTAAGGAATGTTACCTTTTAGTTCAATATATGCAATCTGTGCTATTCATATTGTCTTTTAATATTTTATTCCTGAATTTGCTTTGTGAGAATTTGAAAAAGCAATTAAAAATATATGTCACCATTAGTTAAAAATAGTCATTTGGACATTCAAGATTAACTTATGTTAAAATAATCTCATACTATGGGGAACTTACTCCTAGCCCCGGTCTAAGGACCAAAAATAGGGCATGGGCAGGGCCATGAAGGGAAGTTCTTCATGTGCGCTTAACCATGAAATATTACTAAATGTTAATTTCTTTCTATTGTTTGTTTACCTATTTGTTTTCACTTCCAAAAGCATGTGTGAAAAGTATATTTGCAGTGGAGTTTGCATAAATTAAAAAGTTTAAAAAAAAGTCTTTTGGGCTGTATCAGAACTTTACCTATTTATGCAGAACTTCTATGCTTGATATTTATTTACATAGAACTTGATGCTTATTTCCTTTTCTATAACTTATTTTTTACTTTAAAACAGGGGTGTCCGATGACAAGGAGCATGTGGCCCAAGAAGTGAGAAGGGAGAACTCTGGGAGCAAAAGAAATATTTCCCACCTTATACATTTTGACTAGCAAATTTGCCAGACAAGATGCCTGGCTTTTATACCTTTCGGTCAAATCAGTAACATCTACTAAGTTGAAAACTATCTTTTGTTTTAAAAATTTAAAAAAACAAAAATAGATTTTCGTTTTTTGCTCTAACAGGTTTACCACTCCACAGAGAGAACAGAGAAAACCTGGAAAATAGAGGGATTTTAAAAATCACCTAAAATAATAAGGGAAATGCAGGAAAATTTGAGTTTTTCCGGATGAATTGGGAAAATACAGGGAATTTTATTTCTTATTTTCCTCTTTTAAAAAATGGTGATCACTCAAAGCACTATCTATGGGATATTTAAGGATGATATTTCAGGTATACTGAACCATTTAATTTGCTATAGCATTATTTGTTTTAAGTGTGTTGAGCTGTTTCTTATTTCTTTAAATTTTTCTAGCGATCAAATAAAATTAGTATAGTTTGCCTAATGCAGATCACACACAAGAGTACAGCGATTGTGGGTTTCTTGTTAATATAATACTGTATAATATGTGCAGGGAAAACTCAGTGAATTTTTTTTCTCCAGATTTGAGTGGCAATCCTGTATTAAATCTGGCTTTCTATTATCAAAAGAAATATATTTCTGTTCTTTGATTGTGAGAAACTAGATAATCTGGTACAATGTCAAATACCATGTTCATTTTTTGAACTCTATTTATAATGTCTAATGTGCAAAATTTATGACGTTTTATGCCCAAATATTTATGTGTAAACAATATCAAAATATTTTTGTATTGTAATTTTTATAACAATAAAAAAAAACATATATTAATTATAAAATATTTAAACATATTTACTCTGTATTTCCTCCCTCTCTTTGCACATCAGCTATCTTAGGGGAATATATTTTGTATAATTAACGAAAATTCTCATTGCAATATGGCCCAGGTACGATAAAAAATTGGACAATCCTGCTGTAAAACAATATTTTGTAATTTTTTTTTGCTAAATATTAGAGTGACACCGGAAAGTAATGTGTTTCGGTATATTTAATGTTTGTTATCAAGATTTTATTTTTGATGAATAATGTAAATTTATAATTTTAGCAACGACCTTTCTATGCCGGATCGAAAATGAATCGAAATGGATCGAATAAAATTAACTGGTTTTTAAAGCTAACAAATATTTAATGCTCCGAGACAACATTACTTTCCGGTCCTCCTAATATTAGTAAATGTCTTTTCTGATTCTGGAGTTCTGAAGTGCTGAAAAAAGCTATACAACTCAATTTAAATTGATAGACTTGATCAATATAACAGTTCACACATTTATTACAATTCCATAAAAAGCAACATCCATCTTTAATGCAACAGTTGACAATAATGCAATGTAGAGAACAGGGGAAAAAATGGTACAGTCGAACCCTGCTATAGTGAACAATCAGTTGTAGTGAACTTTTTTTAGTGGTCCTGTCTGAACTCCCATTTATATTATGTTATTTCAAATGCTAATAGTGAGCAGCTGAGAAATCGGTAGTTCGGTTATAGTGGACTCAAATTTCATTTCCACAAATTTTATTTTTAGTCCTTCAACCTTTATTTTCCAGGTGTTAAGTCTAAAAATAATAACATTCCCTTACAGGTTGTCATATTTCATTCTTTTATGCTTATCACTTTTAACTACAACAAAAAAGTTGTTAAACAGCACATTCTTTTCATACATTCTCTCCGGCTCTCTAACGTGGTCCCCAGCTTAATTCTTAGAGTCCTCTTATCTCTAGAAGTCCTACTTTTTACAAATCACCATTTGACAATCGAAAGGTAACTTTTTAACTTCTTTTACAGCTTCATATTCCTACATTATCGATTTAAGACAAGACTTTTTATTTTTAAAGCAGCGAAAATGGTGAATTTTGTAAAAAGGAAAAAAAAATTTGATAGAGGTTAAAGTTAAAATTATCCAATGCACTGAAGATGGAACCCAATCTATTGCAATTGGAGAAATTTCTCTTGTGAAAATCTACTGCTTCAAACATTTGGAAAAATTAGTCGCAGTTCTGAAGAAAAAAAATTTTTCTCTTTGAAAAAACTACGTTGAGGTGAAAGAAAAAGTGTAGAAATTGTGATGTTAAAATGGTTCACCATTCAGCGAGATAGAAATCTTCTTATATAGGTAATTTTTTTTTCTACAGAAAATGTGGATCAGAAAATACTGAATTCTTTGTATATTGTAGTTAAAAAAAATTGATAAATTCTACTTAAAATCAAGTTGTGTTTTTTCAAAAATTACTAATTTCTTTTGTAAAATTAAAACCAATTTTTAGTTGAGTATTTTTCGCTTTCCTTTTTGATTTATTATCTAGTTAATTAGATAATAATTTTTTAAGAAAATTGTGTAAAATTGAAATCCCTATATTCAATAATTCAACTATAATATGCTGAAAAATATTTGTCATTAAAGTTAGATATAGTGAGCCAATGTTTATAGTGGACATATTGCTGGGATCGCAGACTGTTCACTATTGCGCGTTTGACTGTCGAATAAAAATGCATTCTTTAGAAAATGAAGAAAACAGGAGAAGATTACTTTAGTTCAATTCTTCATAAACTGAAAGCATACCAACGGTGTATTAAGGATTTCATCATATGCATTTGATTACTGGAAAACGTGAGCTACATTGAAAAAGCAACTATAAGTTAACATGCTTGATCCCTCCATTTCATTATCGGGTGGTAAAAACAAACCAATTCAATTCTTTTGCAAAAATTAAACAGTTATAAATTGAATTGTAAAAGATAACTCTTAAAATTTTTTTAGCCAATTTTATTAAGAACAAATTTTTAAACTTTTAAAAACTGGTATTTGACAATAGTAAATTAAATACAAAATTCTTTTTCAAATGATTTTTCAATTAATTTCATCTATATCGATTTTTTAAACTTCTGGTCTAAAGTAAGCTGTTCTTTCTGTATTCTTCACATATAATTTGTGAAATAAAATATACTTTAGTACACAAATCAGTATTCAGTCACATTTCCTTTTGTACATCTGAGTAAAAAACTCAGCATTTTTTATTCATTTTAATGTTTCCTTTCTTTAAAATGAAACTACTTACATAGTTGAACAGAAGCTATACATCATGCAACTTAGAGGAAAAATAAAGACAGCCACCCCTCCCCCCTACTCATTACAATCTTCCCTGCCTGTGAAGTTTATCTATGCAACGAACATTTTTTCAACATACATTCCTGTAATTTTAAATGACTTAAAAATTAGGACGGAATTATTTAATTGTTTCTGAGAAATAGACTTTTTTAAAATTTTATTTCTTAGTAACTATTAAACCGATTTTTTTTATTCAAATTTTAAATTTTTTCAGATAAAATTAGATAATTATAGAAGGTTTAAAAATTTGTATAACTTACAATAAAAATTTTTTCCGATCATTAATAAGTTATGCAGAATTAAAATTTATTTATTCTTTTATGTAATTATCTTAGGAATAAAAGAGTTTCATAATAGTTACTTACGTAATTTTAACTTTTTTTTAAAAAAAATTGAGAGATATGCCAAAGTACTCAAAAAGTAAAATTAAACTATGAAGTTTAAATCAGACCAAAAAAAGTAAGTTTTTAGTTTAGTATCTAACTCACAAGAACAAATGCTTAGTCATATAATTTTTTTCACAATCAATCATAAATTTTTTCATAAAATTATTAGGTCTAAATAAAATTACCATAAAAGTGCTTTTTAATTCCTAGAGCAGAATATAATTTAAATAGATAGAGTAATGTTTGATAAACAATGCTAAAAAAAATTTTTCACATTTTAAAAATCGTGCATCACAAAATTCTTTTCAAATGGGTAATTTTTTTTTAATATGTAATACTTTTAAGACAATTTCAATCTGTATTAAATCGATATTTTGTATGACATATGTTAAAACTGATTACATTTTTATTTCAAAACCGTGTTATTGAAATTATGTAAAAAAGATAAATGATTTTCAAGCTATACACTAAGTCAAAATCTTATCATTACATTTTAAACGAAAGTGAAGTGTTACTTAATATTACTTTTGATTACGTAATTGAGAAATTCTACTTATACCCAAATAATTAAATTACAGCAGGAAAAAAAAAGGATGGAATGCTTTCCAAATCTGTAATATTCATTTATTAGTCCCAAGAATATTTGCGAGTATTTATGTGAATGTACAACAGCAGGCTAATCTTCCCCACATTATGGGGTTAACATTCACGACGGGCACTTACAAAACCTAATTTTTTATATTTTTTATATCTCTGTTTGGTTCATAAGTTAATATATTTGTGCACCAGTTGGAATAAACGAACATGCTTATTTAAATAGGTTCACAAATTTTATTTCTTTGTTATAAATCTATATATATATTTTAAAATTCTTAACTATGCTCATTTTCTTCTCCTTAATCAATAACATATTCTTCCTTAAATCTTGCACCCGTTACTGGTGAATAATTTTTACTTTTTTTTAGCAAGTTAACACACTATAAACATCAATACTTAAAATATATTCAATAATTAATAACAATAATAAAAATTCTTATTGTTCCAGCGCAAATGCCATTTAGATTAAAAATATAATTTTTCTTTTCTCTAAAGTAGGGAAACGATTGCGATTTTTCATTTGTCAATAGTAGTGTTCACTACAACCAGCAAAGCAAAGAGGTACAGTTAGCAAAACACCACACTATCGTAGGTGTCATATTTACAATCATAAATAAATAGGTACTTACAGCACCTATTTATCAGTAGGAAATGATAGGAAAGCAGCTTTAAAGCATTTTAAACATAACAAAAGCCATAACGCGTACCCTTTAAAATGTAATTGAGACTACATCAATATTGTAACTTTTTTAAAACCTGTAAGTATTGAAAAAATTTATATTTAAAATATAGAAATAATCACTTTTTATTGTTTTTATGAGTTAAGTTCATAGTAATTTAATGACATTTAAAAATCAAATTTTATTGAATTTTAATTTGGATTATGTTTGTTAATAAGCAAAAATCAGGAAAGATTTAAAATGTGTTTTATTGTAATTACCTCTATCAGGGGTTTCCAACTTACATGAGGCCGGGGGCCGCAATTAAAAACACCAGTTAAATGGCGGGCCACAACTTTATCAAAATTTTATATAGGACTCTTTTATGTTTGAAGGAACATTAAATATTGCTGTCAGATTTTTATAAAAGTTTTTTTAATATTGAAAAAGAAAAGCAAAACAAAATAATAAGCATTACAAATAATGTTTGTTACGTATCATTTTGAATCTTCTCTTAATCTGAAACTTAGTGACAAGATTTTTTTTACTTTCAAATTTAATTCCGTGATAAATTAAAATTTTTTTTGACTTATTAGGAATTATAACAACAACTAAAAAATTCTCGAGCATCTGAAATTAATTTTTTTTTCTTCTCCGCTCATGCGATATTCAATTCAAGGAATTTAGATAAAACATGATATTCATTCCCTCTTTTATGCAGTTTAAAATTTACAAAAGTAAATAATTTCGTCCAAAATGAGAAAAGCTAAATTGGAGAATTTCTGATACGCACATGCTAAATTCTATTCACAAAATAAGGAAAAGAAATAAAAAACGAGAGCAACATACACGATTATTTTTGTATTTGAATAAATATTTTCTTGGATGCAAAACCTGAGAAATAAATTTTTTGCACTGTTGGTATGTTAAATTTCACAGATGACAAAAAAAAGTAGTTTTTTTTTCTTTTTTTTTCTTCCACAGAAAAAGGCTTCGAGGGCCAGAAGTGTGAAACCCCTGCTCTATATCAACACATAGTCGCTATATTTCTTTGCGTTTTACAGTTTTCCTTCAACTTTTTTCCACTTCAATTCGTACTGTCTTCATTTAAAACAGCTTATTAAGAAATTCTCAAGTACATGCCGGAAAAAAAACGTTTTTATTAGAAGAAATTTAGCTTGAAAAATTGTTATGCCAGAAAATACCAGGTGTTATTTAATATTAAAAATATTATCTAAGTAAAATAATCGAAAATGAATTATTTTTTTTTATTGCAAAAAAATGTTAGGATGCGTAAAATATAAAAGAAAACCTTTAATGAGTGAATAATTATAAATTTTATTTAGTTCCTTTAGTCCATCATTTTTTTTTACTTATTTTAAATTTTCTTTGTGTTTAATGTTTAAATGCAGTGACATACATAAACTAAGGTGTGCACCACAGCAAAATTTATAAGTGAGCCCTATCTTTTACTACAAAATAAGTTACATTATGAAAAAAAACCACTACGAAGAAGAGGTATTCGGGTATTTATAGTCAATAATTTTATTTTTATTAAGATAATGAAAATCTTAATTGCGATTATAAGGCGGAATTTAGAAATGCTTACTGAACTGAAACATTTCATACACTTATACTAGCTTACCACTTTGAAATAAAATTAAAATTATAAATTACAATAATTATATTCAAAGTTTAGTTATGAGTCAATATTATTTATAAAATGAATTAAAAAATATCTTATAAATGTTTTTTTTTTGTAACTTATTGCGTTATTTTTTCCGAAGCGTGCGCCTTCAGTGTTCGTCTTACTGCGCCATGTGTGTTGCAAGGGGGCTATTTATGCCATTGTTTAAATGTTTGCCTATTACACAAAGTTCATCAAGGATGAAAAGTTAATTTTTATCAACATTTCTTTATTGTTTGTGTAACAATTATTTTTTATCTCTTTACTTGCTGTTGGAAATAATGTACAAGTCCTTTTGAAATCTGGAATTACAAATACGTTTTTTACTCTTACTCTTAACGTTCCCGAAAATGTTATGTCTTGAAAATAAATACTTGTAAACAATTGAACAAATAGTAATTCAACTCATAAGTTCCTACGGTCCTTTTTGATGGACATCAAAAAAAGAAAGATAGGATATTTTAAAACTAATTTTTCAGTTGATATAAATATGATATTCTATAAAATAGTATAAAAAATTTAGACTTTTACCGAGTCAAGCATTTATTTCTAGTATATATATTATAAATATATGTTATCAACCCACTGCATATATTTTCGGGGGAGGGATTGTAGCCCCATCAACCACCCCCTGGTTTACATCATTCCTTTTCGAAGATCAGAGAAAAAATTGCTGTTGTCTTAAAAATTGAGTGAACTATGTTCTCGTCATGAAAAGGAAAATAGTTATGCTACCTTTTTTTTCATAAATTCCTTCCCTTTTTATTGTGTTTTTCCATTTTACTTAAAGTAATACAATCATAAAAGGTACGCGTTCAGCTAACACAGAGCAACATAAAATATATTTTTAAAAACACATTGCTTGATAATTGATAATTATAGGCTCTTTAATCGTGTAACAGTTATTTGTTTGGACCAATTTTACTGCCTGGTTAAAGCCAAAAATTCATCCCTCGTCTTTGGATCTTCTCTGAACACTCCCAGCATCGTGCTCGTAATCGTTTTAGAGTTGAGTTTCTGCACACCCCTCATCACCATGCACATATGCCTAAAAAGGAAAAAAAATATCTAAGTGAAATTAAGTATAATTTAGTGAAATTTAAATGTAAACAAAAAGTTAATTGAAATTGTTTTTATAATGTCATGAATTTTCTTAATACTGAAGCTGCAGTTCTAGGTAGTTACAAAGATAGGATTTTAATTATATATATGTATATATATTATGTATGTATAGTTCAGGCACCGTATATATATAGTTCAAGCAGGTTTCAGGCACCAGGCTATACGCAAATATTATTTATTGAAACATATTCCTAAAGTATCACAAAATCGTTGTGCTCCTGAATAAAAGTTAGGAAAAATCTTGCAAACTAAATCCGTAAAATGTTTCATTTTAGGGAATAAGGGAAATCTTAGTATTTGTAATTGTTTTATTAAATAGGTCCAGGGAAATTTAGCAGGGGCTAAAAAAATAAAAATAAAATACAATTAACTTACGTTGCTTCAATTACTACTCCAACTCCAGCGGGTCCAATAGCTTCGGTAATGGCGACAGCAATTTGTTTTGTGAGCCGTTCTTGAACTAAAAATAATTAAAAGAACAAGTATGTTAAAATTAATTATAAAGGAATTGACACACTTATTTTGAGTTGGATTTTTTACTGTAAACAATGTAATAATATCAAATTCCAGTATTTAAATTTGATGAAATAGTAAAAGTTTATATCTTGTTGATCTACTTGGCCAAATTGTTTTAAAAAAAACTTATACACTAAGGAAAAACTAACTAGATGTCAAAATCAGCATTAACCCTTTGACGCCGATGAGACACTGGTGCCCCTTTTATGTATTTTGTTCTGACTCTCTAATTACTAGCAAAAATATGCTTTGGTATTTTTTAATTATAAAAATGCAGCTACTACGAAACATCCGTTAGATTATAGGAATTACATTTGTACTAAAACATGAAATCCCAAGTAAAAGTTGTTTAAGAAAAGTTTTTTTTTTTCATTCGTAATAAAAACAATTATCAATTATTGATTTTGTTTATTAAAGAAATTTTAATGATGAATTTTTTCTTATTTCTAATGATATGATGAATAACTGTAAATGACTGTTTCTCTTAGAGCAAGTAAATTGAAATGATTGTTTAGAAGGGATCCCTATTTGGAGGATTTTACCTTTAACGAGAGGAAAAAAAAAAAAGAAACTCGTGTCTCTTACTGCTTTTCATTACCATAAATTGTTTAAATGCTAAATATAATATTTTTGACTTATTTTGACCAAAATAATGAAAAAAATGTTCAGTAAACAATCTTCGTCAAAGGGTTATAAAAAATTAAGCACAAAATTGTAAGTTCGGAAAATTTATTTTGTAACACATATCTCCGGTATTTACAATTATTTTTAATAAGGAATATCCTATTTTAGACAGTTAAATACTCCCAAATATTTTTCACAAAAGAAAAGTTTCAAGAATTCTTAATATTGGTGTTAAAATATGGTATTAAAAAAATGCTCTTTTTAAAATTTCTAAACCAGAGAGAACACTATCGATCCCGATGAGATTTGTTTATAAGGGTCTCAAGTGAAAATTTCACGAAATTCCGAGACTAGTTTTGGTGGAAGGGAGGGGGGGGGGAAGAAAGGAAGAAAATTAAATAGTGATATTTAGACGCTTTAGGTATCGTTACTTTTGTAGTCTTTAATGTGGATTCGAATGAAACCCACCACAAAACTATCGAATCAATAACTAAGAAGTTATAAGGGTTTTATGTATAAAAAGCACAGTTATGTATTAGTTCCTATTTATGCAACTGAAATTGCTGTCAATATAATTTAGGTGTTGTTTCCTAAGTAGCTGTTAAAAATGAGATCAAACACTTGTCATTTAGACTAATGGTTCATAAGTGGCAAGTGTTTTTGTGTGCAAAATGGCTTGTGCTTATTTTTGCACCTGACATAGCTGTTTACTTTCAATTCAAAGAAACGGTGTATTGCTGCTGATGAAGTTCTTTACCTTGAACTTAACGAATTATACCGGAAAGAATTTAAACTATAGTTTAGAAGTTATAAAGGTTTTATACACAAAAACACTAAACTTTTGTACTTGGTACCTATTTACGTACCTGACATTGTTATCAAAACAAGTTAGGTATTATTTCTTAGTTTTTTTTTTACTCTGAATGAAGTGGGACGACTAGTCTCATTTGATTCATAGAATATCTAGGAAACAATACCTCACTTGTGTTATTGCAAGATCATTTCTGTAAGTACAGAATTGTACTTTTTGTGCACAAAATCTTTACATATTTTAAACTATTGGTTTTTATCGTCATGTGGAGGGTCTCATTCGACTCACCGTAAAAAAAAAAAAAAAAAAAAAAAAAAAAAAAAAAANTTTTAATTTTTTTTCAGAAAAAAAAAAAAAAAAAAAAAAAAAAAAGAAGAAAAAAAAAGCCCACCAGAAACACCTTTGTCTAAATATCAGGATTTAAGATTTTTCCCACTTTTGCTTTCTCTTTTCCTCTGGCTAGGAAACTTATCATGGAGCTTAGTGGAATTTTTATGTCAGGCAATCTGAGATTCCCGTAATAAAACAATGAATCCCGCCTTGTTATTTTGAATCTATACCTAAGCTTGGGTTGTCTCCGACCAAAGATGAAAAATGAAATTCGAAAATATTATATTTAATTTTTTAAAAAGTATCGAATTAATTGTATTAAACGAAGTGTGCTAAAATTTTCATTTATTAAAATTAAATTGTTTGATCTGATAAACTTTTCTCACAGCTGTTTTTCTATTTTTAAAATTCGTTTCTTATGATATATTTATGAAATATTTACTCTTTATGTAGGATTTCTTAAAATTTTTAACTCGAAATTACACGAAAAATGTTCACACGATTCCTCATGTTGTATGGTATGCTATAGGAAAATGTAAATGTTATATAGGTTGTCATATTGGTTAAAAACTAGGTTGTTTTATAGGTTTAATGCAGGGTTCGTGATTTTTTTAAAAAAAATAAAAAAAGTCATATTTTTTTTTGATTTAAATCGGATTTTTTTTATTTAAATTGATTTTTATTCAAATACACTGTAAGAACTTTCGTTTATGATTTAAAAAACTTTGTAAATGTTTAATCAAAATTAAATTAATATTAAAACTATATTATAACAATATCTTAGAAGCTCTAACTTACTAAAATAGTTTTTCATAATTTTGCATAGAAACCTTCCTGAAATAAATGCATAATTGAAATTTAAGGACTAGATGAAATAGAAAATTTAAAGAATACTTCAGGGGTCTGTCTAGGCTTTTCTGAGAGGTATACCTATTTTGTGAAAATTTAGACATAATTTGTGAAAATTAAAAATCATATACAAAATTCAACACAAAAATATTGTAAAAAATATGGATTTATCGTTTCTTACGAGACACAAAAATAAAATTTTAAGAAAAAATAATTTGTGAAATTATTCTACAGTTTTTCCTAAAGTAAATTTGGCTTGGACAGACCCCTGTACTTTAACTATTAAAGCAAAGTTTCAATTTGCAAACCATAATTTTAATTTAAAATTGCGGTTTCTTCTCTTTTTTTCTTGATTTTTAAAATGACAAAATAAATGTAACAGATTGTAATTATAAATGTAGACATTCATCAAAAAATAAATAAATATTTAATCTATATATTTTTATATTAAAATAATTACTTTTAATTCTATATCAAAATAGATAAGTTAAGCTAAAAATTTTTTTTTAAAAATTCTATGCACTCATTGGAATTTTTTTCCACAAAATTCCTTTATAGAAAATCAGATAATGTCAAAAATACTGTAAACATATTATTACCCTATTGCTAACATAACCCTACTGCTTCAAATAGACTTTGAAGAGAAGAATGACACTATATCAGGAGAAAAATATCTGAATTCATCAGCCTTTTTTTTTTCTTTTTCTACTATTGGCATATCAGAGTAATTTCTTTTAAATATAACCTCAAGCTTCAGAAATATACATTTTCCACCAATAAAATATAATGTAGATTTCAATTCCTCGCTTTTTCATTCGAAAGGTGGAATTTTAATTAACATTATTTGCATTATTTTTTGAAAAAAAATCATGCTTATTAATTACTTTCTACAGCTATGCAAGTCTATATTAAGACAGCATTAAATGTTTACTTTAATCTGTACTTTCAATCTGAAGAATCAAAACATTTTTAAAAATGTAATTTCAAGTGTGTTGGGATTTAACAAACACCAAGAACGAAAGTAATTTCGTTAACTAAAATTAATTAATGCAGCAATTTATTTAAAATAAATTTTAAAACTAAGAAAACAAAATAATAGAAGTATCAATAATTTAAAACACTGATTTTTAACTTTTAAAATCAATATATATATTTGGAAAGAAATAATTGATTTTCAATGAATTTTTTAAAAAAATCATTTGATTTAAATCATGATTTAAATCGTGATTTAAATCAAGCTGATTTAAATCAACAAACCCTGGTTTAATGCGAATTTAAAATTTAAGTACTTATTTCAATTTTAAAGGCTTTGCTCTCAACAATCCTCTTCTTACCAATGCTCGCTTAAATGTCACAGTTTTCGTTATATTACTTGTAAAGAATATTTATTAATTAATTTTGATTTCAAGATTTTGATCCTTGATAGCGAAGCTGATCCATTGATTTCGGATTGTGTCTAAAAAAGGTTAAGAATATAGGCCTTAAGACTAATGATAACATTTGTTTATTCGAAAGTTACTTTCATATATATACAACACCTCCTAGAAAAGAGTAGGCCTCTGCACGGGTTACCATAAATATCCTTTAGTAGTCCAAACGTAATGACATACGCCGTATTTTCAACCACTGCGCAGCTTAGTACCCCGAACGTAATGACATCTTTCTTATTTTTCATCAACTGCGCAGTTAACTTCGTCACATCGGACTACTAAATTGATCCGTGCTGAGGCCTTCATACTTCTAGGAGGTGTTGGT